ATATATAATATATAATATATAATACATATATAAAATGAAAGTTTGAACATGAGCCATAATCCAATAAGTTCTGTATTTCAATGTTAAAGAAGATACTGACAATTTCTCTCACTGAAAATTATCAGTGGGAAAAGAAAATGAATAAATATGGAAAAGAACTAGAGGCTATTGTTACAAGACAGTCCTTTTCTCCATTTTGTCTTCAGCACAAAAAAGGAGAAAAAAAAAATGATATAATCAGACTTGCCTGTTTTTAATTGTGTGTTTTCTGTGAAATATGTGGGCTATCAATGACATTCCCCTTTGATGGACTGCATCCGCACGAGCAAGGGTCCTCGAAAAGAGAAGTTGCCTGCCATTTCTTTGGAGAAGGTGAAGCTCTTGTAGTGGCCAGCGTCTTGAAAAGCACAGGTTGAGTATTGTCAAGATTGTCCATCAGTGTCGATACAGATATAAAATTCAGAGTAGTGATAGGACCAAATCATGTTAAAAATGATATAGACCTTCTATCCTTCATTAACCCTAGCCAAAGGTGTAAGGTGTGATTTTGTGTTGTCTTACTAGCTACCTAATTTGTATAATTAATACTATTCTACATGACTTTTACATCTGTAGCATCAAGGTAGACCAGGTGACATATGAATAAGATTGAACTAGCATAACATATTACACAAAGCCATGAGACAATAAAGTTTTAAGTGATGTCATTTGGAAGGGCCATTTCAGTGAAATTTTTGGGTGATTTCTGGTGAAGTTGCATTTTGTGTTTCTGTAATTTAGTGACATCAGATAACAACTTGATCCAAAATCTGATTCAAGCAATATTGAATATATTATTGATCAGCCTTAACCAGAATGAGAAATTCATTCACACACACACAAAAAAAAAAAAAAAAAAAAAAAAAAAAAAAAAAAATTGGCTTTCAATTTTCATGAAAGTCAAGGTGCTTTCTCAGACACACTACATAAAAAAGAGAATATAGTGTAAGGAAAAAACTACACTGTGCAGTGTTTTCAAAAAACAAATGAAAAAGAAAAGAAAAACATGCAATCTATACAATCTTCAATTTCAATATATACAAACGCAATTTTTTTCTTCTCTTTACACCCATGGAACATGAACATGTATACACAAAAAATTATAAGCAATCAGTCTATGTTCAATATTTTATGATGTAAGATGCAGGAATTAACTAATAAGGGAACCAATGCTGTAATTCACTTGAAAAAGAATCTGATAATGACTATTTATATCTATTGTGCGAACCTTACAGGAATCTAGTCATGAAATTCTTAGTGTATCACAATAAACATGGTATATAATTTGTCAAACTTCATGCTTCATTAAAGCCCAGGCAGCTGCAAACAATGAGAGAATATGAAGTGACGCAATAAATTATATACCCCAACAAAAACAAATCTATTACGTAAAAACTTTTGTTTATTACTTTCTGAAATTATCATACTATGAATGAGAACTTCTTTAAACATATGCTTTTTATTTATCAGTTCTGGAGATCAATAATATTTAAATTTTACCATTCTTTTTGTGGCTTTTTTGGTAATCTTGTACTATTACTAATTTATAGGATTTGTCTATGTATTACATTCTTAAAATTTTAGTTACAAAAATTACAAAACCATTTTAGAAATGAAAATTCCCTATTCATAACCAGTGCTCAAGAAAACTGGTTTTGTACTTTCTTTCTTTTTTCTTCTGATTGTTTTAAAGGGCATCTGAATATATTTCCTCAATTTAAAAAAAAATCTTCTAAAATGAAAAAAATCATATTTCTCTTCCTGTTTTCAATGACAGCATCCCATTAAAAACAGTCAAGTTGTTGCTCACAGAAATAGGAAAAACATTGTTGAGGTATCAAGATTTTTTATTCAATGTCATGCCAGTTTCCCATACAATTCCTAATAAATTTTGCCCCTTTACTTCTGTTCCCTGCTTTATTGATCCGAGTTTCAAGTGTCATTCTAGATGGTATACAGTTTACTTGGTACTAGGATCAATATTCAGAAAAGGTCTAAAACTGGTTCTGATTGGTACTGATATCAAAGTTAATCCTGCTAGAACTACCATTTACGGCATTATAGACCATATACTGGTAATTTGTTGTACTAATATGATCTAATATTGTACATACATTAATAAACATGCATCAAAGGATTTTTTTTATTGTCGACCTTCAAGATTTCATGGAACTCTCAGTGAGTGACATAGCATATAATTTCACAAGCCTACTATAAAAAAAATAAAGGAAAGGGTATAAAAATAAAATGATATTGAAAAAATATTTTTTTTTTGGTACAAACTTTCTGGAAAAACAGGTAAGCATGTGTATTCTAAACTGTCTGACACCATAAATATATTGCTTGGTTTATGTATGGTAAGCAACTGGTCTTTATCATACTCAGAATTCAGTCTTTTTTCAAATAAATTGTTTCTGTTAAGTTTAGCATATGTACTTCCATCTCTATGACGTATGTTAAGGTTTCATGATTTAATTTTTAATTTTAATGAAAGTATGAGGATTAATAACAATATACAATATACACGCACCAACTCACACACACATACACACCCACATATGTGTGCACCCCCCCCCCCCACACACACTGTCCAATTTTTACTGGTTTATGCTCTTTTGTTGTTCATTGATATTTTTATTCTCATTTGGTTAAAGCATGAGAAATTGATGTAACTGTTATTGTTGCTAATGTTATTATCATCCTTGTTATCACTTTTTCATCTTATTTATAAATTATCAATATATCACTATTATATATTTTCACTATACTGTTAATGTTACAAAAATAATATCAATAACAATATTATTAATGATAATACTGATAACATGACAGTCAAATAAATAATAATAATCATACGATAATTATCATTATGATAATCATCATCAACATTATTAGTATCATCACATATTATCATCATTATTGCTATCATTTTCGTCTTTATAATTCTCATTGTTGATGTGTTGAAACAAACTATAGATAGCCATTTGATTGGGAACGTCTTTATGCTTGAAATGCAATAGTATTATACCCATTGCAGAGTTCATAGACCATCATGTCTGCATACTCTACATAACTAATGATAAGGTACTTTATAAAGCTCTTTATGCTAATCTTGGGGGAAACTGCCTTGCTTGTATGTCACCTGTAGACAATTTGAGGCAACTCTGTACTTCACTTTTGTAAATTATTGTAAAGTTCCTTATAGGTAACTACAAGAGAGAAGGATAACATATAATCAAGATCTTGCTACAGTAATTAACTGTCCCCTATGCAGTTACTCTGATGAAATTTAAAAATTGATCTATTTTGAAAGTAAATGTAAATAAAGCATGCGTTTACCTAATAGTTTTGTTTGAAATACAACAGCCAATACAAAAGAAAACATTTATTTGACTATCAAGTTACATTATACAACAGATGGAATCTATTTTATGACATTACAACAGGAAAAGTTAAATGTCCTATGGCACTTTGCCTAAAACATAAAGGATTCCATGCTAGAAAATCCCCATACATAAAATGTTTCATCTTTCAATAAACCTGTTTCGTTTTTGTAGATTTTCCTTCCAATACATTACCATGATAGTGTTTTTCATTTATTATCGACTCCAAACCCAAAGGAAATCTTCACGTTTTGTCTGACCATGTAATATACATGTGTATAGTGATTCTTCTACCCCTGCATTGGCACAGTATAAAATTCTGACATTCATGAAAAGGATCCCACATTAAAACACCACAGGTTTTAAGGGGATACTTTGCTATCTACTCAAAACATAATAAAGAATTAACCTGTTGCATACAAGGAACTAATTTATTAGCATGGGCCCTACTCTGGAGCTAGTGCTTGCCATGCAGCACTTCAGACTGGTTTGTTTTAGAGCAAGGAAGTGCTGCTACATGTCCTGTCCTTTTTGCCTTTACATGCACTTGTAAAATAAAACCTTTCCCAGGTAATTAATTTTCTTTGTTTTACCATATTGTAAGGTTAGTATTAGTCATCATAATCACTGATAACAATGATAGGGTTGAGGAGGGTGACCTCTGCTTATGCCTGTGAATGCCACATCTCAAAGCACCCATACTTGCAAAGGGGTATTTTACAGTCTCTGCACATGGTCCTGGTCACCTTCCTCTTTCCATTTTTCGTGCACATCTTACAGCGGCGACATTGCCTGTAAGAAACCACACGCTGATGATGTGATGTTGTTCGCTGAAGACGAGGCTTCTTCGTTTGGTACAATCCCTCCTTGTGGCAGTGGATTGTTGGATAAGCTCACGGATGAGCTGTTCTTGGAAATCAAACTGGCTTAATGTCCCTCCCAGTGCCTGGTGTATGCAGTAGGAGTTCACTACAGCTATGTCAAGAAGGTACAATATCACCTTCTTATACCATTTTATGGACTTTCGAACATACTGATAGGACTGGAAAAACTGGTTGGACAGATCTACTCCTTCTCGTAACAGCAATATAGTCAGAGACTACACTGGGGCTTCTTACACTTTTTCTTACTCTGGGGTGTATCAGTGACCATTCCAGAATGGACTGTGGATAGCATGGTAATCGCTCCTCCTTATTGTGCCACTGCAGGCATAAAATGCCTGTTGGTGCTACAGAAATCCATATCGCCATAGGCCACTGTCTGAAGATCAATAGGCATATACTTTCGGATGGTGTACACAGTTCCAATTGCATTTGTATGCTGACTCTGTAAGTACTGGAAAAGAGTAGGTTGAGGTATACCTGGTGTTGGTATACAGCTCATACCCTTTCCTAAAGAGATCTGTGGCAGCCATAAGCTCAACAATGGCTCTCATAGGTGAAGGGAGTCTTCTCTTGTTAAAACTTGAGTACATACTGAATGCAATAGTGTACCCTGCAGTCAAGCCATCACTGACACACAGCTTGTACATTTTCAAACCAAAGTGACCTTTCAACCCCCATGGACTGTCATCAACCGTTATCTTCGGGGAGGAGTATACACTAATGAAAACTGCTGATTAAGTGTACTTATCATTGGACGAAGCTTCCAAAGGTAGTCATCACCAGGATGTGTCCTATTATTATCCACTACATGGAGATTCTGCGTTATATGAATGAAACGATCTAATGACATAGTCTTTGGGAATATAGGCAAGCAGAAGTGTGGGTCCTTCCAGTATATTTCAATATCTGACCTCGGATGCATATCCATCAACAGCCAGAGCCCAAAATAGGCATGCAGCTCTCCTCGTGAAGTGTTATGCCAGTTCCTCTTTTGTGAAGAAGCGGGTGCTAGTTGCTGGTGGTAGTACCTAAGAAGTAAAGAAAGCATAAATTTTAAACTATGCTTTCATACATATAAAAATGAAGACTGTAACATGTGAAAGAACAGTGAAAGAAAGGTATCATACCGGTTAGTTTCTTGGACAAGACAGTCCATGAGCTCTGGTGTGAAGAAGTGAGAATATATTTCAAAGGGTGTGGATCCTTGGTGCAGGTCACTAACATTGACCCCAGGGGGCGCAGAAACTGAACCGTTTTGGGACATTCTCTTTCTTCTGCACACAAACACAGGCTGTTCAGAGGTGTGCTTTCCCTGCATTCTTGCCTCCAACTCAGAGTCAGAGCTATCATCACTGCTACTGCTTGTGAAACGACCCCTCCACTTCGGCATAAACTCATCTTTGTCACATCATCATCAGAAGATAGGTTTGAAGTCATCGAAGTTATGGGACAGGTCAGGAGATGCAGTTGAGGTGGATGGAACCACAAGATTATCAGCAGAACCAGAAGCAGAGCAGTAGCTGGAGTGCTTGGAGGCTATCTTCAGGGGGTGATAAAAGATAATGATTTTTCAGAATATATCTCAGGTATTTATATAAATCTGATCCAGTCACACTACTCTGATTCTATGTCCTCTCAGCTAGGTGCATAATTAGAGGGGTAACTGACCACAGTGCTCTCTGAGAGCAATGCAGATGAGTGACTTGGGAAAAGACATTAATAATTTAGTGCACTTTTTGTGTGTATCCATGATTGTAATTTTAATCCTCTACCTTGTCTGGGCCCCTCAGCTGCAAAATGCCTGATCTTTAAGTTTCATCAAAGAAAATTTTGGTCTCTGATATTTTGAGAAATTCATTATTACAAAAAAAGTCTATTTCATTATCAAATATTGAATACATATTGCATTAGAAAGTATCAAAGCAGAAAAAGTTACCCATCCCACATGAATAAAAACTGGAAATAGAATAAGCATACCCATGCATATAAAACATACTAAGCAACCAAAAAAATACATGTCTCATCTATAATAATGAAACAGGAGGTGAGCTTGAGACACAGAATATCATGGTGTGTGAAAAGGAAATGCAAGAGAGGAAAAGGTTTGGCGGTATGAAATATGAAAATAATACCAAAATTATTGCTTAGCACTTTTTTCGATTAAATTCTGTTAAGAGGCAGATGACATGACTGTATGACTGTCAGTAATTGGGAAGACCTATATGGGGATCGAGATAAAGGGATATCGTGAGTGTGGTTGGAGGAAAATTGCCAAATAGTATGAGAGTTATTAGTGAACACTACATACATCTTATTCCCACTGAAAACAGAAAAACTATCAAGACAATTTCTGAGAGCCTGCACATGAATAGAACAAACTAAACAAACTGTAACAAATGAATATCAAGGCAAAAAGGATTTTTCCAGTTACATTCAACTTGTATATTAAATACTAGGGTAATTATAATAATGATAGTTATATCAATCAGATTAACCATGCAGTTATTCACTTGCCTCACTTTAAAAACTATAGTCCTGAGACATATGATTTGATTTTTTTTTTTTTAATGTTATTTCTAAATTAACTTAAAAAACATAACAGTACTGTCATATATGAAATGAAAGCTCAAGTTGTGTAATATGCAATAACATTTGTTGCAATCTGACTGATGGTTTGGTTTGTTATATATAAAACATCACCCTTCTAGAAACCCAATTTTTTATGTTCATTTACAATAACCAAACATATGTAATTTGATATATAGTTTATATCTAAGTGACAATAAAAATAAAAATAATAATATAGCACACAGTTGGTATTAAAAGACAATAATAATAATAATAATAATATGATAATAAAAATTAATAATATAGTAATACTTTTAGGGGGCCAACTGGCACAATCACCTTATAGATTTGTGTTCCATGATGTTAGCATTGTGTTCCATGATATGGTTTCGTATACATTAATTTATGTTTTGAAATTAACAATAACATTAGCAAATACATTAAACACTGAAGAGGGATGGTTCACGAATATCAGACAGAGAGTACCATTTCCCATGTTTATTTCTAATAATATATCTGTGCACCAAATCTAGCATTGTATACCAAATAACTTCTTTAGTGTTTTCTTTAATTTCTCATTATAATGTTCAACTTTAATCCATTCCTCTATGGTAACAGAGATAGTTGGATATATTCTGATTCATATCTAAAGGTGATGTTGTGATAAAAATGCTGTAAGATGCATTAAAACAAACACACATACAAAAATGAGAGAAAATTCTGGCACAAAAAGTTGCAATAATGCTTTACCCCATAAAGAAACCTGGTTGGGGCCTATCGTTACAGTGTTCCATTCATGCACAAGTATGAAATGACCTTAATTTGCTGAGTAAAAAAATTTCCATAAATTCATAACTAAATATGTGGGAGAGAAACACACCACTACTATCTCCTTCAAGGCTCGGCTAGGTATATGGAAGGAGGGCTGTGACTCAATTACCGTAGTTTTAATTAGTTTGAAAATCCAACAGGGTGTGTTGCGGGCCACATAATCTGGGTCCCTTCCATCCTCACTGAGTGCAGGATCTTCTGGAACTAGCACCTTCTTGCTCTTGTATCATGTTATTCTCTCAACTGGCTGCCACATTTTGGCAAAAAATTTCAAATGGATCTTCTTGTTGCCCAATTCTTAAGTCTATTAGGGTCAAATAATAAGATTCTGTTGTCCTATTCAGAGCAACAGGCCTTGCAAAATTCTGGTCACTGTGATGTATGCTTATGAGGGATCCAATAGACATCATTATCTAAAATATCAAAATATCAACCAAAAGGGGTGATGAGCACATATAACACCAGTGTCATGTCCTTCGTGAATGAGAAGGCACTGGAATCTGGACTCCATATGGTCTTGTCCTTTATCTTGAGCGGTACCTCTGACTTGTTCCCCCGACTATCCTTATCAGTATCATCCCACAATTGTGCAACAGATTCTGGACGAGGGGCACAGAGGTAAACCAGTTGTCAGCTGTCACATTCCTGTTAGTGAAGTGGTAGCACTGTGTCAGGGTCTTGGTATTGTCCATCCCTTGGCCTGTCCCTGTTTCCCAAGGTAGGTATCCCTGACTGAAGTAGCTATTCTTCATATCATTTTACCAGATGATTTTGATGCCATACTTCGCTGGCTTATTTGAATGTACATCTGAAAGGAAAGTGCTTCAAAAAGCAAGCATCTGCTGATCAACAGTGAGGAACTCATGTAGGGTACAGTGGTGCTGCAGGCCACAATGAAAATATCCACATCTTGGGACAAACTTGTCACTTTCTTTTTGCTGTTCTTTGGTACTGATATCATCAAACTGTATGTAGTGGAGAAGGAAAGTAAAATGCCCCTGAGACATAGCTGCCCTGAAGAAATTAGCACCAAATGTAAGGCTCCAGACATTCTTAGTGGAGAGGTGGTTGTCTCTCCTGCAGCCAAATATGAATACTCTTAGCTATTATGTATCTCCCAGGTGTTGTGCATTGAACTGTGGCCTCTGCTGCTTGTGCTTTGCTGCCTCAGTGTCTATTTCTGGTTGGTCCACTGCACAATTTCACTGAGGACTTCATCTAAAACAAACAAAGAGAAACATTTCTCTGGGTGTTGGCTTGGGAAGCTTGTTGATTGGGCCAGGATGAAATCCTTGTATCATATTTTTTGAGAAGCACGTACTGCTGCAACTACACGTGACTTAGTGCTCTACACAAAGCCTCTTGTAGTCTTGATTGAGGTTGTGTTAAAGTTTACAATCAGTTCATCAGGATTTGCTGAAGCTACGTGACATTCTTATTCATACAAGCAGCAGGAGCAACAGCAGGTGAAGCAGCAGGGTCATTATCAAGTACGGTACAAGGGCCTGTCAAAGGTGTGCCCTACTACCACTAATACTTTTCTGTCTTGTCTATATATCAGTTACTATTGTCACTGCTTTCACTTGGTAGTATCACATATTCAACATTATTTTTACAGTTAGAGAAATTTTCACACTCTACATTGTCAACTTCTTAACCCTCAGAACTTTCACTTAAAATATCACCTATTTTACTCTGAGAAAGTGATTTCTTCCTCAATGCCATATTCTATAAACCTGTAATCTGAATGAGTAAGAAATATTTGTTACCAACACTCAATTATTGTTACATCACTGAAATTCATTGTATAGGTGTTTACTAAAATAGTTTGTAAACACTATCCTCAGGTAGGTACCACCTGATGTGCACAACACTTTGTATTACCAACCAGGGGTATGCCGTACCCAAATGTAGCACTAGAACAAAGGGCAATAGAGAGAGCAAGACAATGCAACATTCCCTTACACTGTCAAAGTGGGCAACTGAAGCTTTAGGAGGTGGGGCCATTCAGAGTACTGGAACCATACACTATGGCAATGATGTCACTCACTCTGAGTAACTTTTACCTTTGATTGGTGTTCTAGGAATATATAAACACTGGACACATCAGCTTCAGAACCAATGCCAAACATTAGAAAAATATCCTTTAACTTTCTTCTGTTCTTAGACCATATCCCTCTCCCTTTCTACACCCCATACATTGCTTTGTACTTCACTTTGGTTCCCTTCCCCTCTTTTGCTCCCTCCCAATCCTTTCTCCTTTCCTCTCAACACCACCCCCATATGACTTTGCACCCAGTAATTTATCCCAATCTCTTTCACTTCTTTCAAAACTCTTACACACTAAGTCAACTGCTCTTGTTTTAAAGCTTGTTCTTATCACACATTTTAATGTTCAAAATACTGTATTGATTATTCAAATTTTCTATTCTACATTTCTCATCTAAAATGTGAAACTTGTGGAAAGGAAATATATTCTGCAAGTGATAAAACATCTAACACAAAACATTGCTGTCTTAATATGGTTTAAGAAAAGGCATGCAATGACTATATGAACCTCTTGGAGTGCGATTTAGATTCATTTAGCGTTTAGAAAGGGGCTTTTGCATTGTTCCCATCGATAAATGAATGTGGAATATAATGTCTGTAAGCCAAGACTGGGAGAAGCACCGTCTCAGTGAGGAATGCCATTTCCAAGCTCAAATTCTTTCCTGGTGCAGGATGTATTACAGAAATTTTATATTGCAAAATATACATGTAAGACACAAATAACAAAATATTACTTTTATCATTTTTTGTCTTTTGTCTTCCACAGTTATTTACTACACAGAGAGATCTGGAGTCTGTGCAAGGAAAACAGTCTATCACCATCTAGCTAAATCAAATAAGGAGACAAATGTGGACATTGAAAAACTTTAAAAGTTTATGTATAATACCTTTACTAAAGTGAGGCATAAAGTCTTGTCATTATGAGGTCTTCTTGTGCACCCA